GTTTGCACACCGTGCGGGAGAGACACAAACCACCCCAGAGCTCCAGCTTCCGAGGGAAGCTAAGGAGAACTGGAGATGCTTAGATCTCTTGAAATCCAACACAGCAGTTTCACTGAGATACCTTATTCATTTCAGGTTTCCCCATAAACTCTAATATTAACCCAGGGGCAGTTCAGAGCGTTGAAGCTCCAAGCCTGTTTTGGATGAAAAAAACCAAAGAAAACCATGCTATCTCTTGGTTGTGACAGTCTTTCTTACTTTTGGAAGGAGGTTGCTGGACTCATACGTGCACCCCAGTGGTGCTTGAGCTGCACCCTGTGTCAGATCTGACCCTATATCAGTGAAAGCAGGTGGCATCTGCCTTTAAGGTTAAAGCTACAGAGGAGGGGCTGTGCATGCTCCCTATCAAACCTAGGTCTTGCTTTCCTCAGGAGCTTGTGTCTTTTCCCCAGAGGTAAGTCAAGCCTTGGTGTTTTGGGTTTAGCCCTTTCTAAGAAAGATTGTTTGCGGTGAAAGGTGGCTTTTTGGGTAAGAAGCATTGCAATGGTTGAGTTTAATAATGTTCTGTCATTTTTTTCTGGTGTGGAAAGTGGTTTGGGTTTTTTTGTTTTGTTTCTTTTCTTTAATGTCTTTGATGTGAAGGTAGGAAGGGGGAAAAATGTGGTGAAGAGCAGACACAAGTGCTTAGAGTGAGATAGTGGGAACAGAAATACCTTGTCTTCTCTCTGGTTTGCCACCAGTTTATGTTGTGCTGGGCCAAGCAGTCTGGGCTTTGTTTCCACCTGTGTTGAGACCCTCAGCTCCAGGGAAAGGCAATAGCAGTGCAGATGGGCTAAGGCTTATGAAAGGCAAATACTGTACTTGCCAAGGCTTTTTTATTTAGTTGTTGGTTTTTGGTGGGGTGGGTTTTGGTTTGGGAGTATTTTTTGGTGAAGTTTAACATTCCCAGACTTCTGGAAGACTCTGAAATTGAGTGCTGTGTGGGTACAGCTAGAGGGGAATGTTGCTCTCCTTGCCATATTTTGCAGAGATCTTGCTCATCAGTGTGATGGCAAACTGAATCAGCTGGGATGCAGTCCCGTTCCGGTGGGCTGTAACACAACACTTCTGGGGAAATGATCAGGAGGCAGCAGAACAATCAGTATGCACACGGCTTCAGCCCACAGAGTGAATCTGGAAAAGTGCTTTCACCTGGAGTCTGCGCTACTCTTGCTTCAGCAAAATAAATAGGATGGAGCTGAGCTAGATGTCAGTGGGAGTGCATTGCTGGCTGAAACCTGTCCTGGGATTCAGTGGTTCAGGAGCAGTGTCCCAGCACTGTGCCAAGAAATCCTGTGCTCTTGGTGAGGTGCTGCTTCTCAGAGAAGATTTAACCTGCTATTTCTGTTAATTAATAATCCCCTGGTGGTTTTAAAAGGAGGGGCTTGTGGATGCAATGTCCTATTCAGCTTGCAGTTTGATGGGGGCTGTAAATCCCTCTGTAGTTCCAATCTGGTGCAGTTAGTGCTCTCTGCTTGTGGCAAGCTGCCTGCCAACTATTTCAGCAGTTAATGCAGGGAATTAGCTTGTAGATTTAAAGTAGAGGGCAAGCTAGACAAGACTTATTACCATGCTTTGTCCTATCATAGCCAGTAGTTTGGTATAACGGGCTGTGTTATCTCTTATGATGCACTTTGGGATGAGTGGTTGTGGGTAAAAGGGATGTTGTTTAAATGTCTGTTAATAAAAAAAAAAAGCAGCTGGTAGGAGCAATTTGAACAATGCGAACTCCTGCTATCTTGTGATTACCTTTAGGCACTTGGAGATTATTTTACTGAAGTTAGAGTGTTTGCTGATGTGGGAAAAGACAATTAACTAGAGTAGTGAAATTTATGCATAGCTCTTGCCTGGGCTTTAGCTGTTACTTTCTTGTGGAAGAGCAAATCTGGGCACTTAGGTATGCTGTTCAGTAGACAGAGGCTGCTTCTCTATTTTGAAGGCTGTTTGTTAAGGCAAATGGCACTAGGTTTAGATTTTATTAAGATCACAGGGAAGGAGACAGTTTAGCGTGCATGCATCTTTGTGCTGAACTGAAGTTGATTTTCTTGCAGCTTGACACCTCTTTCCCATCTGAGAGCAGGATGCACCAAACTAAGTAAAAAAAGCAATGCTTACTACCTTTGTAATGCTGTAGCTTTCTCATAGGTGCCTTGCCAAGGTTGGCCACCTAATCCTGCAGCCTCCTTTGGAAATAGAGCTGTACGGCTAGTAAAGGTGTTGCAGAGAGCGTTGAAGCAGTCTCTCAAATTTTGCTTCTGTGAAAGCATTATCCAGGGAACTTCTTTTGTTTGGTATAGGGAAACGTGCCTTTTTGGCCATGAGGTAAAACCTTATCATGCTTTTCTTAGAAACAGTAAGCCAGGAGCTTGGTTGGGTACAGGGATAAAGATGACACAGCTGGAAAATGCCTCTCTCTGGAGAAACGTGGAGTTGTGTTTAGTACAGGGATGCACTGGTTGTGTCCTTAACTGGTGTGACTCTTCCCAACAGCTCTGTTAGCTTCAGAGGCGTAGAATAACAAACCTGGTTTTATCAGTCCGTGCAGCTATATCTCCTTCCTCTCCTGTGCCGCAGGCTGCGGGCGCTGTGAAGAGTGCTTGATTGGGTAGGTTTATGAGAAGCAACTTCTGCTTTGCTGCTAAATGGGACCACAAGGGCCAGAGCAGGCAGGGCTGCACTGGTTGCTTTGCCTTCCTGAGACCTAGGACTTTGTGCAGCTGTGAACCAAAGCTGGGGCATGTCATGGCATGCAGAAACCTCATTGGACTGAGACTTTTTGAAGGAAAGAAGGTCTCTCAGGAAGGTCTGTTTTGCAATAACTCTTTTTGGTAAAGTTCGTTCCTGTATATGTAGTAATGAGCTGGTGTGGATGGTGTCGCTACCTTTGCACTGAACTCCTAAAAAGTGGGTTTTAGTGTTTAAGACAAGGGCAGTTGTGGTAAGTGACAAATAACTGTTAAAAGCAAGCGCTTCAGTGGTTTGGGAGAACCCATTATGGGGTTTCTCTGCCTATTTCTGGGAGGTCAGGACCAGGTGCAGGATACTGAGCAGTGCCTGAGGTCTGTTTAGTGGGTTTAGTGGCGGAGTAGGTTGGGGAGCATGCACTCCCCATTGCTCTCCACCGAAGCTTGTCGTAGCATTGGTTCCCGGCTTATATAGCAGGCTTTAGGCCAGATCTGTTCTTCTGGGTTTCAGGACAGCACTCTTGAAAGTGCCTTACCAGACTGAAAGCTTGAAAGGAGTAATTTCTGGTACTTTGTGGGATAACTGCTGTTCTCAGAGGATTTGTGATTATTTATTCACATATAGTGTGGGTATGTGCTCACATCTGTGAGAGCTATTAGCTGTGACACTTCTGAATTTTATTTTTGTCTCTGACTCTTCATGAACTTTTAAAGGATGTTGGGTTTTCTCGTTAATCACAAAAAGGATGAGCAACTGAAGTGATACTTTCACCTATTTTAAGGCATACTCAGCTATGGCTCTGGGGGCTGAAACCACTTTGATTTCTGTTAGCTTAGGAAAACTGTCTGCTCTTTTCAAAGAGCATGCAGTTCTGTGGGCAGCAGAGATAAGGAAAGCCCTGTTTTTTGCAGGCCAGAGTAACCCTCAAAACATAAGAGGCCATACAAATTCAGTAGAGAGAGCTATATCCCTCTCTGACAGCAGCCAGAAATAGATGCTTCAGGAAAAAGCAGAGGAAAAGAACAACTGTAGTGTGATCCTCCCTC